GTGGATGTGTCAAACAGGAAACGTATTGTGTGAATCAGTTAACGATTAGGTGAGAGTAATGTTTACTTGCAGTAGACGGAAACATACCGTATTTACGCATGTATAGGCCGCACATTTTTTGCCAAAAATTCAAGAGGAAAACTGGGGTGCGGCTTATATTCGAAATATTCGAAATCACATTTCATTTCAAAAAAATATATTCATAATTAGTAATACCGGGTGTAATACTCCTGAAATAATATTCCAAGAAAATTATTTTTTCTATAATTTCTGTCTGAAAATTGTGCTGCGGCCTATACACGCACGCGGCCTATACATGCGTAAATACGGTATATTGGTTTAGCTTTGATTTCTACAGTGCTAAGGAGGCGTTTAGGCTACCAGAAGTACTTTTCTTCCATGGATGAGCGATATATAAAATGTAGGATCTGAGGTTCTCACAGCTGTGGTTATGAAGACTTCTGTCATCTGAGATATAACGCCACGTAGTCCGTTGAGAATCAACTGACGTTTCGGAAGAACATCGTCTCCATCTTCTAGATCAGGCATGTCCAACGCGTCGATCGCGGGACGATTTTTGATAGATCTCATAGGCCTATAAGGAAATTATACGTGAAAAGCATGTAAATTCACTTGTAATATAATACGATTATATTCAGATTTTGAAGGGAAAGTACGCGTTAAAGTAGTCTGTACTTTCAGTGTATGTTCTTTTACAACAACCATCATGTGTCGTGTTATTTTTACCAATATTTTTGCTTAAAGCGAGGTACAGCGATAGGAGGGGGTGGTAGATCAGTGGCAGTTTTCACACTAGAAAGTCGATCACAACCTGTTTGAAGTTGGACATGCCTGTTTTAGATCGAATAAGCCGACTGTGATACCAGCATGAAAGCAGATAGCAAACCACTCTGCTCTGGGACCCACACAGCCTCCTATGCAGTAGGTATAGGTGGTAAAATGGCCAGGGAGTGTAGCTCAACACTCACCTTCCTCTCTGCCGAGGTCAATAATGGTGGAGCTATACCTCCGCTCTCCCATACACCTCCATGGCATAGTGCGTAATTAAGCAAAGGGACAGCTTTACCTTTAACCCATCTACGTCTAGGCTTCCAGTTGTCTTTCTCCTTAATAAAGTTTACCGACAGGTGTTTTCATGCGTGCTGCATGACTCGCCCGTGCTATTAACTTTGATTTAATCATCTTAGTAATACTTGGCGACCGCCTGTATGGTCTAGTGGTCAGAGTTCCTGGCTACAGATCCAGATGTCCCTGGTTCGATTCCCCGCGCTACCAGGTTTTCTGAGAAGTAGTGGGTCTGGAACGGGGCCCACTCATCCTCGTGAGGATAATTGAGGAGCTATTGCAAGGAAATAGCGGCTCCGGTCTAGAAAACCAAGATTAACGGCCGTGGGGATCCGTTGCGCTGACCACGTGACACCCTCTATCCGCAAAATTTGGCACTAACTTCGCCGACAAGCGGCGGTCGCTCAGTCGGTATACTTCGCTTGCGGACTACAGGTCACGGAGTTTAGTTGTATAGTTTTTAGTAATATTTGGCAATGTCTTGGACCACTTGAAACCCTGATGGGTCGAATCCCACACAGAGAATAGAAGTTTGTCCACGGTTTCAGTCTGTGTTAATGTTGTCGTGTGTAGGCAGAGGCCTTGAGATGTACCGATCCCTTTCCAAGGGGCAGACCAGAGGGCCTAATCCGCGAAGCTGAAGAAGAGGAATGTTTGCTGAGCGAGTAGAAATTATGAACATCCTCAGTTTTTTCCAGATATTCTTCAACTACAGTTTTCTTTTTTAACTAAGTAATTCCCTGAATCTGAGCCCTCCACGAGAAACCAGTAGTTGTTCAGCCAATCGAGAACTTCTAGCATTTTATGGAATCCGAAGGTTCGATACTGTGGTCACAGGAGCCCACCGCTTGTCCCTATCCTGAGCCAGATGAATCCGGTCCGTACCCTCCCCTTCTGTTTCTGTGAGAACAGTTTTAATGTTATCCTTCCATCTACGTCTGTCTTTCTATCGGGCCCTTTCCGTAAGATTTGTATACCAGAAGTTTGTATACACTTTTGTTCCATGCGTGCTACATATCTTGCCCTTCGCATACTCCTTGATTTTATCTTTCGAATAGTATTTGGCGAAGAGTACACACTGCCCTCCTAGAATATGCTTTGCAGTTGTTTGGTCCGAAGATCCTTAGTCCGCGCTAGGGCGAGAAAATAATTTTCTCATCAGTACAAAGAAAAAATAAGGATGAAATTATGGTCTTGGGTGTTATAATCTTTGGGAGATGGATGAGAGATATGAAGACATAAGAATAGTTCTGTCTTCTGAAATATGACGTCCTGTAGTTCGGTTAAAATCAGCCGAAGTTTCGGAGGAACATATCGCGCAAGTCATCAGGATCGAAAAGTAAGCCGGACACGAAAACGGTATGAACGCAGGCAGCAAGCAAGCAGGACAAACTGCACGCAGGAAGGTAAAGTTGTCCCCTATGCTTAATTAAGCAGCATGTCATGAAGACGTATAAGGGAGTGGAGATATAGCTCCACGCATTAACTTCGGCACCAAATGGAGGTGAGTGATCGGCTTTACTCCCCAACAGCTTTACCTCCGGGGAAGGAGCCTCTCGATATCCATTGGATTGGAGGCTGGGTGGGCTCCAGAGCCGATTTGTACCCTTTGGAAAATAAAAATCTGTCGGAAATCGAACCCCGGACGTTCAGCCCGTCGCTATCCTGAAGGACAAGACCTACCTAGGTTAAGAGGGAACTCAAGACCCGCCTAGGTTAAGAGGGAACTAGAAGTCTAAATAGAAGACATGAGTCTTAATTGTCACCGCTGTAAGAACCTCATATGTACTGAACTAGTGTGCAAATATGTATGGCTGACCACTTGCGAGCAGAAAACCCCCAAAACGTGAATCAGTCGCGTGTATTACGGAAAACGGTATGAGTGGTTGCTATTGTGTGTGTGTTCCCCCCCTCTTGTCACCTATTCATTGCTTGTTACCCACTTCCTGAGCATCCCCCCTTCTGGGTTTCGCCCAAGGTTCTCAAGATAATAGTACCCCGAGGGCATAGTCCTCTTCGTCGGAGAACAGCTTTCACTGCTTGGTACTAGATTGCGCTCGCTCTGCTATGATTTTTCTGTGGTGCTGAATATAACACGGCAGTATGCTGAGACAGTCGGCTTAGTGGCAGCGGCGAGAAAGGAGTACGTGTGTGTTCTGTGGTCTAATATTGCAACTTGAAGACCAATTGGTGATGTGTAGTGTGTAAACAAGTGAGTAATGTTGGTGTCGCGAGGGCAGGTTTTGTCTACTTCGGGAGGGGTGACACCGCCTGTCACTGCTGGGAATAAATTGGCAACACGACCTTTGCCACCCCCTCCCGTACCCCCTAGACCAAGTAAGTCCTTAGTGGCTGAAGCGCTTGCGCGTACCAGGTCTGCAGAAGCTACTACAAGTAACAGAACACATGTTCCGACGAGAAGAGCACCTCCACCTCCAGCACCCCCAATATCAAAAGAAAGAAACCAGGAATTAAATACGTCTCAGGTTGTAAATAATGCCCCAGTACCAAAAGAACGGAACCAGCAACCCCAGAAAATATTAAACCATCAGGCGGCAGTAAAACAAGGTGTTAATTATCATCATGGTGAACCTGTGAAGAACGCGAATAGAAGTGGTGAAAATTATTTTCATTCTGATGAATCCACTGCTTTGCATCATTCTACGCGGGTTACGCAGTTACATAGGAACGATGAAGGACGGCGCAAAGGTGACTTCGAGAACCGCGTAAATGCCAGCTCCTCGTCAGAAAGAACCAGACGCCGTGGGTTGGAAGAATTTCGAAACACTCACCACAGTGACCTGTCTGGTGATAATGGTACCCATGAGGAGTGTAACGGTCAGGAGTCCGGAAGACCGGCGGTACCGGGCGTGAATAGTACAGTACTCGGAATTAAAAGTGACTTGGAAGACAGAAAAGGAGAAAAGTTTCATGACTCACAAGAAAAGACTGAAATACGAGCAGTGACTGAACGTTTGAAGCCTCCAGAGAGACTGCGACTACCGAAACCCAAAGAACAGGAAGAGAACTCCGTTGTTTCGCACGTCATAACAACGAAACCACGCGAGCAGGAGACCGTATCGTTCCCACAACGAAATGAAGAAAAGACAAATGAAAAAAATGAGAGTAGTGATCATGGACATCAGACCAGAACTGCGCAGGAAGTACAGAATTATTATCCGCGTTCCCAGCACACGATTGTGTTCAGTGGAAGTGGTGAGTATGTCAAAACCAAGAACCCGCCAGAACAGGAAGAAATTCCCGCGAATAAAACCAGTACGGTTATGAAACAGAACACCGATATTGAGGACAGTCAACATAAATTGCGAAGATATGGCCCTCACGTGTTACCAACTGGGCAACATAAACATGATAGCTCCTACATAACTTCATCAGAGAATCGAAACACGGTTCTTCTAATTGATAACAGCCCACTTAAAAGAGAAACATTATCATCAATATCTGAGAAACAATCCGGAGATGATAAAGATCTTATCATTAATGGCATTGTTGCGTCGTCATGCTCTCCTTTGGTGGAAAATCTCATTGTTGAACTTCGGGAAAGTTCAGAGCAACGAACAAATCAGAAATATAATAATAATAAAAACAACGGAAGCAAAGAAATTCAAAACGGCGTTAATAATATTACAGGGAACAAAGAAAGTGAGTTTATTGAATCCTTGTATAAGAAAACTTCGCAGCCGCGGATACAGCACTCGGATTGGTTTGAAGTTGATAATGGGAAGCCAGTTCGATTTTCAAGTTGTCACATAACTCTGGATGATTCCTACACGGCTTCATCCGATTCCAGCAATACCGAGTCCAGTTCCTCAACCACGGACCTCTGCAGAAGTAACAGTTTCCAGTACACTGATTGCAGCGAATTGAATGTGGATTTCAATCTTGATTATAGGGGCCAGCAGATTTCACAACACCATCTCGCTTCCTTCAACAGAAGGCGAAACATGGCCTCTCTACAGGGTCTTCCTCCATTACCGAAGAGTCTAAGTGGCGTTAATTTATATGAAAGCTGTGGGGGAAACTTGCACTTCGCTACTATGGACCAGCAGCAGCAGAAACCGGAAGTGTCGACTCCTAGGGGAATAACGAAGAGTGGAAGTTTTCGACAGTTGGCATCGCAGAATCCCACTTCCGGTAGTGTTGGGGGTTCTGGTGGCGTCAATGGTAATAGTGGTGCAGTGAGAGTGGTACCTTCGTCTAGTGGGCGTGGACCCACACCACCAACCCCGGGAGGAACCCCACGTCAACAGATTGTGCACCATCAACATGTACGGAGTCTTCAGCAGAACGGAGATGGTGTACCCCCTCCGATTGCACCGCGTGTCCGGAAACCCATGGCATTAGACGCACAGCTGGCAGTCCTCAGGAAGGAGATGGTGAGTAGCCGATTATGTTTCTCTCTCTCTCTCTCTCTCTCTGTTTTGCCCACATGGACGAGCATAGAACTGATTTCTCAGTTTCATGATCACTTTACAGACGGTAGGACTCCTTGGACGGGTGATCAGCTCGTCGCAAGGCCTCTACCTAAACACAGGACAACACAAACACAGAATAAACGCATACACACACCAAACATCCATGTCTTATTTGGGATATGAATCCACGATCCTTCCGAGCGAGCGAAGGCAGTAGATGCCTTAGACCGCTCGGCTAATGTGATAGACGGTTATGTGTTACTGCTACTGTTTAATGCGCTGTGGTACTGATTGAAAGTGTTTTCCATCCTTAGAAACCATCGAAGTTATCACAGAATTCTTGCCTTGATGAAAATGGAACCAAAAGTCAAAATTATGTTACGACCGACGGTCTGCCTTGGTGTCTAGCCTCCATCTGGGACCAAAGACCAGATTTTTATTAATTTCAGTTGCGGGTTTGTTGATGTGGGGCGTCCTCTGTTAGGAGAGGACGGGTCTGTGGTTTACAGTTGCCAGCACAGTCTCATTTACTGCTTGTGAATTCTAGCGGCCACTGTTCTGTCTTCTTCTGACTCGGCCCCAGTGAGTTATAAACTCAGAGTGTGACGTGCGTGCAGAGATATTTTAGACAGAGTTTACTACTGTCTCTCGAGATTGATCGCATAGGAAGCAGCCGTTGCCTGTTACAGACCGGAATTTATGAGGAGGGTAGAAACGAATGTAGGAGTACGACTGGTTCTGTGGTGCATATCCAGTAGGTACCTTCATTATTTCTTTTGGGACAGAAACGGGGGGGGGGGGGTAAACTGACCATCCACCCAACGCTGAAGTTAAAACGTGTATAGTGGTTATGGCTTACTTTATGACGTCAACATCTCATAGTACATAGCATCGAATGGTAGGACTCGAACAGAGTCGAAACATTCCAGCAATACCAGTCGGCTTGGTAAGAATCCGTATGGCTGTACCTCTGTTCCCCAGTACGCCTTCGTGGTGCGGTACCTAATTAAGCTTGGGGGGGGGGCGACTTTGCATGTGTGTGGTTTTCACTTCCTCTCAGAAATAGAGATGTGTTCTGCGAAATACAGTTTCATTTTTAGCATATTTTTGCCTTAAGGTAAGAAGATAAAGTTGTCCCTATGCTTAATGAAGTACCACGTCATGAAGACGCATGGGGGAATGGCGGTATAGCCCCATATTCTTGATCTCTGCACTAGATGGAGGTGAGTTGTCAGCTTCACGCCTCTGCCGCTTTATCCCTGGGGAAAGACACTTTGTACCTTTGGATATGAGACTCGGTGGGCCCCAGAGCCGGTCTGGACGATGTGGAGAAGAAACCCTACCGGAAATCGAACCCCAGCCCTTCGCTATACCGACTGGGCTATCCCAGCTCTCAGGTTTGCTGTAAGCGTGGTCGCTTTTGTAAGTTCGTGTTTATCCGATCGTGAAACAAGGTTAGCCGAATGACCAGATCATTTTCTGTAGAAGTTATTTCGTCAGCTGAGAAATTAGAACGTCATCTCTCCGTTTTACGCAACTTCATGAAATTTAAGGACGTGAGCGTTAACAGTGTAGAAACCGAGCAGTAGAGTGGCTGATTGTACAATAAAGAAACCTTAGTATTTAAAAGAAGGTAACAGTTAACAAGGTAAACTGCAAACGGCGTGAATAAAGCAGAGTTTTGTGTACTAAATTAAACGAGAGAAATTTATTTTGACGTTACAACAGAGAAGTGACTCTCGTTGACTCATATTCGGAAGGGCTCGGTTCGAGTCTTGGCCGGAACACCTGATTGAGGTTTATCGTTTTCATTGGTACCTCCAGGAAAATACTGGAATAGTGTCTGTATTAGTTCACGCCCACTTCATTCCACACCATTTTCGATTTATCATCAATGTATCCTATCATTGACCGCCTCTGTGGTCTATTGGTCAGAGTTCCTGTCTGCAGATCCAGAGGTCCCGGGTTCGATTCCCGGCGGTACCAAACTTTCTGTCAAGTAGTGGGTCTGGAACGGGGTCCACTGAGCCTAGTGAGGATAACTGAGGAGCTATTTCAAGGAAATAGCGGCTCTGGTCTAGAAAACCAAGATTAACGTCTGTGGGGATCCGTTGCGCTGGCCACGTGACAACCTCTGTCCGCAAAAGTTGACACTATTTTTTTATTGCTAGTGGAGTGGGACTAAGTCCCTTGTACTGCCGCCACTTCTGGCCTGTTGTACCAGCCCCAGATGATAGGTGAGGGTGATTGTGGAGCAGTTGGTGGAATGAAGATTGGTAGGGGAAACCGAAGTACTCGGAGAAAGTTTGCCCCAGCGCCACTTTGTCCACCACAAATCCCACTTGACCAGACTTGGGATCGAACGCGGGCCGCCGCGGTGGGAAGCCAGCGCTTGATCTTGAGCTATGGCGCAGCCCAAAGTTGACACTAACTTCGCCGACAAGCGGCGTTCGTTCGGTGGGTCGGTATAGTTCGCTTGTGGACTTACGGCACGGAGTTTGTTTTGATGTATCCTGCCATTCGATAGTATAATTCAGAGCTACTGACAGCGTGGTAAAATAAACCACAGAAACTATGAAAGTGAGTTGTTTATACAGCCATGTTCCCCCATTGCTGTATTTAGAGTGGGGATTTATGTGTTCACCCTTCTATGCTTCACCACCCAAGACATGTCTGGGGCTACGTCAAATGTATTTATTTCTGGCAATATTTAGTTAGGAGGAAGTATTCGTTCTTTGTATTGGGATTTTCTTAAAAGACATTAATTAACATATGTAGGCCTGTAGGTAATTAGAACCTTTGATAATACGGCGAAACTCAGCTGTTCGGGAATCACGTTAAGAAATCATAATTGCATTAGTGAGTAAATGAAGAACAGATTATATTCTGGGAATACTTGCTACCATGTTGCCCAGAATCTTTTGCCCTCCCTTTGCTTTCCAAGACTGTACAGACTAAAGTATACAAAACAGTAATTTTGGCTTTTCTTTTGTATGTGTGTGAAATTTGGTCTCCCATGCTAAGAAGGGAACATACACCGAGTGTGTTGTAGAGCAGTGTGCTTAGCAGAACATTACGACCTAAAAACAAAACAAACTCCATGGCCTGTAGCCCGCAAGCGAACTGTACCGACCAAGCGACCGCCGCTTGTCGGCGAAGTTAGTGCCAACTTTTGCGGATAGAGGGTGTCACGTGGTCAGTGCAGCGGATCCCCACGGCCGTTAATCTCGGTTTTCTAGACCGGAGCCCGTATTTCCTTGAAATAGCTCCACAATTATCCCCACGAGGCCGACTGGACCCCGTTCCAGACCCACTACTTCTCAGAAAATCTCGTAGTGCCGGGAATAGAACTCGGGACCTCTGGATGTGTAGCCAGGAACTCTGACCACTAGACCACAGAGGCGGTCATATTTTGACCTAAGAGACATGAAATAATGAAATATAAATAAATGAATAAATAATGAAATAATGAGACGTTTCATAATTTGTAATCCTTACAAAATACTATTAGGAGCCGGATTAGCTCAGTCGGCATAGCGACTGGACGGCCTAGGGGTCGGAATTCGAGTCCCGGAAGGACCGAGATTTTTTCTTCCACGTCGTCCAGACCGGTTCTGGGGCCCACCCAGCCTCCTATCGAATGGTTACCGGGGCTATAGTGGCCGGGGCATGAAGCTGACCATTCACTTCCATATAATACCGAGATCACTAATACGTGGGTCTATAGATCCACTTCCCCATACGTCTTCATGGTGTAGTGCTTAATTAGTTAAGCACAAGGACAAGTTTACCTTTTACAGAATTATATTAGGATGATGAAATGAGATGGACGGAATAGAGAAGAGAAATTAATACAGAGTGTTCATAGAAAAACCTGAAGGAAAGAGACCACATGGAAGACCTAGGCGTAGATGGTATTAAAATAGATCGTAAGGAAATAGAATGAGAGGGTATGGATTGGATAAGGATCAGGGGCGAGCCCTTATAGACATTGTCACGGAGGAATATTTGGGATCCATAAACTGCGTGCAATTTCTTGACTTGCCGAGGAACTGTTGGCTGCTGAAGGATTATGCTCCATGAACTTGCCAAGTTTTGTCAGTACTGAAATTATAAAATTTCTTATTTTCTAATATCGCACATTTGTTTAATGCTTGTGGTCTACATGTAGGTGCACATTCAGTGTATTTTATGCAATTTGAACAAGCTTGGGAAGGTGAAGTGTGTATCCGGAGTACGTAGAGTTTGCACATGCGCTGTTCGCACCTCTGCATTCCGGATGCTCGTAGCGTAGTAATGAGTAGCGCTTGTGTCATATATGGATCTCTTCACAAAGATCATATTTGCCAGGAGAGCTGAATGAAAAGTTATGTAACATTGTTGCCCCAACTGGACTGTACAGTAAAATTGCTTCACACATTTGTTTGACATATAATAGTCAATTTTGGACAAAGTATTATAGCGTGTAGAGCCGTTGCTATGCAACGACCGCGAGACAGACGGATATACCGGGGCCGTTTCTGGTCCACGGCTCGGTCGAGATTCGAACCAAGCACTTCCCGAATACATGTCTGTAGTGTTACCCCCCAACCCAGTCTGCTTAATATGAAGGTTAGGGTTTTCTGGATGTTACGCCGTGTAGTCTGGTATATCGTTATCGAAGGTAAAGTAAAGTTGCCCCTGCGCTTAGCTAGTTAAGCATTACGCCACGAAGGCGTATGAGGGAGTATAGATCCACATATTCTTGACCTCGGCACTAGCTGGAGTTGAGTCGGCAGTTTCACGCCCCTGCCGCTTTACTCCCGGGGAAAGAGGCCTCGGTACCCATTGGATAGGAAGTTGTGGTGAACCGCAGAGCCGGTCTGGACGAGTTGGAGGAGAGAAAATTCTTGCCCCCACCGGGACTCGAACTCCGACTCCTCAGTCGTCCCGCCCGTAGCCAGTCGCTATACCGACTGCGC